TTCTGGCGAATCTTATTTGCATGATGGCGATGCTGAATCTGAGTGTAGGTCCGATGATATTTTTTCTGAGGCAGATCATAATTTTAATTCCTTGTTAAGGGCGCATGAGCAGTTGTAAAATTCCATTGAAAAAAGACTATTTTTAAGTACCATTTTCTCAACTCCAAATAATTTTTTTAGCACACTTTGTTCTGATGATTTTATATACAAAGGACTAAAATCTGATCGTTCGATAAAGACAAATATTTATTTTTAAATTTTCTGTGCCATTTTGAAAAAATAATTACCCGTTTTCTTGATTTTTTGTTAAAGAAGCAAACAACTTTAAATAAATTAATTTATTTGTAAAACCAGAAAACCAAATTGCAGTCCATTAATGTACAAGTATTTAAAAAAACCATATCCGTTAAGTGGTTTTCGATAAATTGGTACCTAAGCGAACTGACGTTTTGAATTTTTAAAATCTGACTTCAGATTCGTAATCAGCGACCCCAAAAACTCCTGAGTAACAAATTTGAAGTCAATACGATAAATTTTTAATATTGTCGTCCGCCATATTGGATCCGCCATTTTGAATTTTTTAAATTTGACTTTAAATTTGTAATCAGTGACCCCGAAAACCTCTGTGTAACAAATTTGAAGCCAATATCTGAAGTTTTAATGTTGTCGTCCGCCATATTAGATCCGCCATTTTGAATTTTGAAAATATGACTTTAGATTCGTAATCAGCGACCCCAAAAACCCCCGAGTAATAAATTTGAAGCTAATACAATGAATTTCTAATAAATAATAATGATTTTTTAATAATAATTTTAATATGTCGTCCGACATACTTAAGTTCGTAATCAGTGACCCCGAATACCCCCAAGTAACAAATTTCAATCGATTTCATGAACTTTTGAAAATTGTATCCATCCTGTGTTAAATTTTGGAAAATTGTTTATTTTCAGGCGCCATTTTGAATTAAAAAATACCAAAAATCTTAAAACGCAAAGCATATTTTCAAACTAAAACTATCGGGAATACGTTTTTTATACCTTAGATGATTGGGAAAAATCGATATGAGAACTAAAATTGGATATGAAAAAAAAATTACTTTCCAAAATCTTGTATTTTTTGAGTATTTTTGAAAAAATAAGGGTTTAACGTCACTTTTTGGAAATTTTGACCATGCCATTCGAAAGAGCGACCCCAAAAACGTATGGATATGTCATTGTAAAATATTTAATAATGTTTTTCTATTAATATTATGAGCTTGAAACCGAAGTTAAAAATCAGCACATTTGGGCGTTAAAGGGGTTAAAACAATATAATGTCTGCATTATATTTTTTTTATTTTTCTAGATTTTTTTGCAAGAAAATTGGCTACCTTCTATTTAAGGGTTGGTTTTACCCCTAAAAACCGTAAACGACTTGATCTTGAAAAAGGGCCAGACAGGAGTATCTTTTTTTGGCTCTAATAGTTTCCGAAAATCCTTGGTTCTTTCATGTGTTCAAAATCGTGTTGGACGGTGAAAAAGCGCTTACGATGATCAAAAAGCGTTCATTATTTTAGAAGTTATTCAAATTTTTGTAAAACATTGAAAATGACGATTCATTTTTTCTTAATCTTTTTAAAATATTACACAGTGGAACACTCAAGTCAGATTTGTGTCGATAAATTCCGTTTTGGAAACTAAAATTTCAATGTTTTAAGGTTTTTGGTCTATTTGGAGAAAAATAGCACTATATATTTTTTTTAACTTTCTCACTTAAAATGAATATGTCAACTATTTATTTTAATGTAGTATATAATTTAAGTGACATTATTTCGAAGCTGATTCGATTACGTGGTTTTTATCAACGAAAGCAGTACAAAAGTAAGAAGTATCACTTTTTTTATTATTTAGTTGTAGATTACAATTATTTTAAACATACTACATTTATTTGTAAATATTTCTTACAAAATATATTTAAAATATGCGCGCATCTTAACTAAAATAGAAAAATTATCAAAAATTAACGATTTACTGATCAAAAGCTGATTAGAGCGATTATTCAATGAATTACTGAATTATCAAAACTTAAAATTACAATGAAAATCAAACGGCTGCTAATTTTTAAAAACTCTTTAGGGGTTTTAGTCTGCTGGGGTAGTACTTTCATCCTATTATAGTCAAGCCTTAACCCAAAAAAATTTTTCTAAAATTGTTTCACTATGTTATCATCTTTCAAAACACATACCGACAAAAATATTATAGATATTACGATGTTATTTTGTTTGGATTTGTAATTTTAGTAAGATCTTATTTTGTTTAAAAAAAAATCTATTCATATAATTTTGTAATTATTTATTAGCTTTTGCCCGTCGACGACAGGCATCCTCAGATAATTTTAAGCTGAAATTACATAATCATTAGTGAAAAAAATATATCGAAAAATTATAATAATTAATTTAATTAATAAATTATTAATTAAACATTATTATTATTATTAAAAAATTAAAAAATTAAAAAAAATTTTTTTTTAAATTAAATTAATTAATTAAAATTAAATTATTATATTATTATATTATTATTATTATTATTATTATTTAAATAAAAGATGTTTTGATTCTTCTGTTTGGCCTAATGGTTAAGCCATTAGGCCAAACAGAAGAATCAAAACATCTTTTATTTAAATAATTTTATGGCTTCCAAAAAATATTGAATTATTATTATTATTATTATTATTATTATTATTATTATTATTATTATTATTATTATTATTATTATTATTATTTATTTTTTAATTTTTTTTTTATTAATTATTATTATTTTTTATTTAATTATATGAATGGATTTAAAAAAAACAAAATAAGATCTCACTAAAAGTATTATAGTTTTCATAAATTTTGTGTTAAAATATTTTTTTCATTCTCTTTAAAAATGGGTGGACTCACAATTTTGGCCTGTACTGTAGCGACAATTATTATAAACAAATAGAAATAAAATAAACTTCTCCGCCTAATTTCGTATTTTTTCTGGTCAATAATGACTCCCTGTTTTATCACGAGTATTTAAAAATAAAGAAAAGTCAGTATATTAATATTTTTGTGACCGCGTTTGCTGCGCTCCACAGTGGGATAAAAAGACAAAATTTAGTTCAAATTAATTTTTAGACTACAATTTTTAACAACATTAAAAAAAATTTTTTTTTCCTAACTCAGAAATAAATTTTAAATAGATCTGTGAAAGTCGATTTTTAAAATTTTGTTTTATAAATTTTTATAATGCTAATAATGTAAAGTGTAAACAAGTTGTAAATCCAGACGTTCATTACATGTACATTTTGCTTCCTCTTTACGATCAGCAAAAAAAATTTGCTTCCTAGTGAAGGAAACATTTACGATAAGTATATTTCATTTTTAAATCATTTTTAATACAATTTAACATTTATAAAATAAAGTTCATTCATCTTAACAGAAAGAATAAAATTTTCTTATTATACAGTAATATGAATCTAAATAAACAAAAAAAATTTTAGTAAAAAAGTGAATTTTTTAACTTCAATTGTAATTAATTCTATAATTTTCAATAGAATATATACTTTATATACATCAATCGATTCGTCTTGATGCAAAGAATAAGATTTTTGATTTATTTTTTAATAAATAATAACATTTTATTGTACAGCAATATGATTTTTAAGAAAAAAATAATTTTTCCAAAAGTGCAAATTTTGTGTCTATAATAATTGGTTTTAATTCTATAAATTTAAATACAATATATACTTTATATATTCCAATCGATCCGTCTTGGTACAAAGAATAAGATTTTAGAAATAAATGAGTAAGATTTTCTTATACAGCAACATAATTTTGCGGAAAGAACTCATTTTTTGATAAAAATGCGAATTTTTCAGCTTTAATTGTGATTAACTCTATAAATTCTCATACAATTTATACTTTGTATATACCAATCGATTCGTCTTGATGCTAAGAATAAGATTTTATTATATATTAACTTCAATAACCAACTTAAAAAAAATTTTTTTTAAAAAATTTTTTTTTAGAAAAGTCAAAAAAAAAAATTTTTTCTGAGAATTTTTTAAAGTCTATCAATCCATTTCGAGATATTTTTATGATAAATATACCTGGCAAATTTTAGCCAAATTCGTTAAAACCTCTTCGAGTTATCGTGTTCACAAAAATCGGGATCCACACACACACATACACACACATACATACATCCGGACAATTGTTCAGGGTCTTATATAACATAGTCCTATATAGAAGAAATTTTGTTAAAAGGATTTTTAAAAATTTTGTAAATTAAACGACTACAGAGCTTCCTCACGAGGAAGCAAAAAAATTATTTTTATACTTTTCAATATATTTTAAACAAAAAATTTTTTTCATACTCAATATTGCATACATTTTATGTCTGGGAGTGTATAAGTAGTAAAGAAATTGTTTCTAAGATTACAAATTGTTATAAACAAATTAAATAAACAATTATAATGTAGGCGCAGTTAAGCCTAAAAGAAATTGTTTTTTTTAATAAATTTACTTCAGATTATTGCAATTTACCCTTACCTTCCTTAAAATTATTTTCTGATTTAGTATAAGACTTTTTTCTTACAGTTCATCAATTAAATTTTTATACATTGTTTACCAGTATTGGTGAAAAAATATATTTGAAAATAATTTCTGATCTTTTACTACATAAATGAAAGAAATTTTCTACTACTAATACCTACATATATTACAACAGAAAAAATGTTTACTAAAATTTACGTTAGTAACGTTAAATATATTCCTATACATTGATGAAAGAGAAAATCATTTTTCACCTGACCAGCAATGAGTACGACTACTGAAAAGGATAGTGGAAGTTTCGTTGTTGGATCTAACGTTGGTTTTTATCCCTTATTCTCTACGTTATCGACTTTACAGCTTCCTTGCACCCTATCTCATCAAACCTCGCCAGATCAATACCTCATCTGCTTACTCACACAGTATTCATTGTGGGCGCTGTCACAACCCAGAAACTACTTATTATTTGTCACCTTAAATTTGTAGTTAAAAAAGGTTACAAACGACAAAAATGTTGAAATACTAAAACAAATATAATGCAATAAGCATTCAAAAGAATTTTATAAAAATTTCAAATTTATATTCTTAATAAGAAAAAAATATGAAAAATATTTGTGATTATTTTTAAATTCTTTCTAAATTGAGTGAAATTCAAAAGTGATTTTATATTAGTCAGAAGATAATTGTTGGTAAGAAAATGCCTTGTGAAAACATGAAATAGTTCTTAGAAACACAAAGGGAAACTATTTAATGATTTTGGATAATAAAAGAAGATATAAAACAAAATGAAAAGGCAAAATGTTAGAACACTGTCCTTGGTTGTATGTACTTTTACGTATTTACTCATTGGTGCTGCTGTTTTTGATGCATTGGAATCCGATACAGAACGCCGGCGTGGAGAATTTCTTACTGGTAAGTAAACATTAAACTTTACCTTTTATATTTTAAGTAATTTCTGCTATAAATTACATATATATGAATATTACAAACAAACTTTAAGAATTGTCAAGAAAAATATAGGATTTTTCTTAAATAATTTAAATTAAACATTACTTATTATTTTTTAAATTTATTTACCACATGAGTCAGTTCCACAATTACAAAGAATTATTAAGTTTTAAAAATAATTTTTAGATGTGTGGTAAGAATTTTTACTAAAATATTAACAACGAACAGGTACAAAACGATTATTTGAAAGCACATGTTCGTTTTTATAGAACAAAAAGAAAACTCAGTTCATTAAATAAATTAGTAGGCGCTTTGCAGTATGCCACTATTTTAATTATTAACATTTAATAAAAGATTTAGTACCTATTTATTTTTTAATTTATTTATTTAGCCGGTAAGTTAGTATAGTATAGATTTTAGTCCAGGCACCTTGTCCAAAGTAGGACATAAATCCTATCCAAATGGGAATAGCGCCATTTGATAGTCTAGTTAGTAGGCCAACAAAAGGTTGTTATTATAATTTGTGGAGCTCAAAAAGATACAAAAAAATAATAGGTCGAACGATATGTTTTAATAAAATTTGTTTACGAGTTATGGAAATAAAACGATTAAAATTAAACTGTTTTTCAATGTTTCATAATTTAATTAATCTTTATTTAATCAATCTGAAAGTCTGTGAATTCACTGATCTTGGGATCCTTAATAAGTGTACAAAACTTGGACTTGATCGGATTAATTTTTTTTAAATAGTCTAATTGTTAATTAAGGAATTTTTTTTGTATTGAATGTCAATTTTATTGATAAATAAACAAAAATTTATATCTTCAACTGGGGATTTTTTGTACACGTGAGGTTTTTAATGAATAAAATCTTTAAAATGAATTATTTTAATTTGATTTTTTTAAAATATTTTTTTAATATAATATATTATGATATGAGCTCTAATTGAGATTTAACAATATAAGAAATTCATTGGTTTCAGTCGAATGAGGGTAGTAACAAATTTTGATACCTTTTAAAATTTGAAAAAATTGTTAAATATATGTAATAACATTCTACAATTTCTTTAAGTTCCTAAACTTATCTCTGGAACTTTTAACATTTATATCTTTCAGATTATTTCCCCTAAAACAGCCTAAATATCAAAACTAATGATTTTTAAATATTTAAATTTATTTTTGAGAAGAAAATAAGGATCACGATTTAACCATTGATATAAATTATTTAATTTATTTTTTCTATGTTTTGCTTTATTGAAGTTTACAATACCATTATTTTGTAAGTGTCAATTTCACTTTTTTAAAAGTATTTTAACTTTTTAAATAAGATTCTTTTTGTAAAACAAAGTTTTTACTCTGGTAAACTATATTTAAAAATATCTTAAGAATTCCGTAAACAAACTTAAATGAAAAACTATAAAAGATATAATATTCTAAAAAGGGTACTTCAGTTTTTGTGTCATTGGTAAAATAATCTTTGTTTTATTAAATTAGCATTAAAAAACTGAATTAAAAAAATTTGCAATAAGGGGACAGTGAAATAGGTGTTGTCCTACTTGATCCCACTGTCTAAAAAGGTAACAATTCTCTGGAATAAAACTGAGAAACTGAAATAGGAATCTCAGACAATAAATACGAACTTTAGATGAGTCCCCTAATGATCTTGGAGAGAAACATCATCACATCAATGGTTCTTTTATTTTCTAACTACATCTCATTAAATCGCAAGCATAATTGTGAATAGTCAGAGTCCTGGGGTAAAAATGTACCGTATTTTTTAAAGTGAATAAATTTCAATAATCTTTTTGGTCATTTATCAAGAGCGTCAGATAAGTATGCTACATCATTCTTCCAAACAACACAACAATAAGTAAATGTTGATCTATCTAAAGAATAAAATAACTAAGAGCCGGTTACACAACATTTTTTAATGGGAGTTTTAGTAGATGAACTTTGTTTAGTAGTTTAATTAGACTGAGTTCCTCGACATAAACTCTGGTTATTACAGTTGTGGAACCGGCCCTTAATAGCCAATACATTTTTAAACCTAAAACCCGCTCTGAACAAGAAGCCTATAGGATTCTACCAGCTTCACCAACCACAGTATCAACATGGGTGTTAAATTTTAACGAAGGCGTATTTTTGATGTTGTAATATAATATTTATTGTTTAAAAGTTACTTTGATAAAAGTTTGTAATTTACATTATTCATTTTTTTTTTGCAGAAGTAAAAAACAACATGATTAAGAAGTATAATATTACTGCAGAAGATTATCTGATGGTTGAAATTGTTATGATTGAAAATAAACCACACAAAGCTGGCCCGCAATGGAAATTCGCCGGTGCTTTCTATTTTGCTACTGTCGTTTTAGCAATGATTGGTAATAATTAATAATTATTTTCTGCATTGTATATTTTTTATTGTATAAAGAAATTCAGGAATAAGACTGCAGCAGCATTATTATCACTTTTCCTGAGAAGCATCATTTATTATGTACAAAAACTTTTGTATTTTTGTATAAAATTGCAAAATTCATTAGATGGAATGGTAGGGGTACAATTGCAACTATTTTGCTTACCTGTGGAACCCCAGAGAATCATTAGACTCACAGAACAAAACTGAACTCAAAATGAATCAGAAAAGTGACTCATTATGAGCTGCAACAAAAATGAACCTCATAGATGACGCCAAATTTTATGTCATTTAACATAGACTCATTTGGAGTTGCAACAAAAATTAGTTCAATTGTTTTCTGTGCTGCTAACGCTTTTCTAACGTTAAAAATACTGTCAGTTTTGAACCGACTGAATTCAGTGAACTAAATATAAGAGTCGAGTAGAACAGGAGGCGGTGATTATGACTTCCACCACTGTTTTGAGGGCAACCTAAGTGAGCGTTCTTTGCCTCTTCAGGAAGAAAAATCAAGGAACATCTCATTTATCTTTCTGATGATGATGCACAGTGGTCCAGATTGACAGAAACCTGGACAAAAGTCGAAGAAATGAATAAATCTTTCTAAAATTCGTTACTCGGGTGTACTCTGATTTCGAATTTGATATTATTTTTCAAAAAAACAAAATGGCGGACATAAAGTACAAGAAATAATTTAATTTTTATAGAAATTTGTGCTAGGGGGTTTTTGAGGTCTCTGACTTTGAATTTAATATTATTTATCAAAAAAACAAAATGGTGGATCCAATATGGCAGACATGAAGTACAAGAAATAATTTAATTTTTATAGAAATTGGTGCTAGTGGGTTTTTGAGGTATCTGATTTCGAATTTGATATTATTTTTCAAAAAAAAATGGCGGATCCAATATGACGGAAATTTTTTTTTAATTTATTAAATTTGTTTGAAATTGGTTACTTGGGGGTTTCTAGGGTGGCTGATTACGATTCCGACATCAGTATGATAATTTTTGGTAAAATAAAATTTAGTTAAATATCCTGACATTAGCTGGTAAATTTAATTTTTATAGTTTAACAATCAACGGGTTAATAAAGGAAGTGCTTCTGTTGACAAATGTTTGCTCTTCCTTTTCGCGTTGAAATTATTGGGATGGGATCGGACTTTACAAACTTTTCACTTTTAGGAAATTTTCTTCGTTTTTTGTGATTCGTGTTTGTTCACATTGGCAACTAATATTCACACACATTTTAAATGTGCGTATAACGAACATTTTTGTATATCAGACTTGGCAATACTCCGCAAAACTTTAAACTTATAAATCTTAATGGTTTAAGCATAAACAATATCTGAAAACTCTCCTTTCTCTCATTATTGTTTATCAAATTAAACATGAAATAATAGTTTGCATTCTTTTTAAGGATATGGACACTCAACGCCAGTTACGATAGGAGGAAAAGCATTCTGCATGGCCTATGCAATGGTGGGAATTCCTCTGGGTTTGGTTATGTTTCAAAGCATAGGTGAACGTTTAAATAAATTTGCCTCAGTAGTTATTCGGAAAGCAAAAACTTATTTAAAGTGTCAGCGAACTGAAGCGACGGAAATGAATCTTATGTTGGCAACAGGAATGTTGTCAAGCATTATCATCACTACTGGTGCTGCTGTATTTTCTCGATACGAGGGCTGGAGTTACTTTGACAGCTTCTACTATTGCTTTGTGACGCTTACTACTATAGGCTTTGGAGACTATGTTGCTCTGCAGGTTAGCTTTACCTTATTAATTAATAAATTATCATACAACACATAATAGTTTTTAACATTTTCTGAAATAAAATTCCTGTGTTAGAAAACGTAAAGAAAAATGAAAAATCTAAATTAAACATTTTTAGTTAAACAATGCTTTCATGATGAGGTAGTAAATAAAAAAGTAATTGTACAGAAATTATTAAATAAATAATAATTTAGGTTTATTAATTAAAATTCAATTTTGCAGAATGACCATGCCCTTTCGAATAAGCCGGGTTATGTGGCTCTAAGTTTGGTATTTATTCTATTTGGTCTCGCTGTTGTTGCTGCTAGTATCAATTTATTGGTCCTGCGGTTCATGACAATGTAAGTAAATTTGAATCAGTATTTTTGAATGAATTGAATGTTCAAATATTCATTAGGTAGATCAAAAAAGATAAAATCGCAAAAGTTTTCTGATTCTGCAAATTTGTTCCAATTTAAGAAATATCTTTTTTAATTTAGAGCTTTGAATTCTCAGTATAAAATACTTTTTAAAAAAATAATTATTGCATCGTATTCAAAAGTATTTTTTGTTTAACAGGAATGCAGAAGAAGTACGTCGAGAGGATAATGAATTGCAATCAGCTTCTCATCACGTATTAACTTTAGACGGGGAAGTTGTTGCTGTAAATGGAAAAATTTTGGCCGGTCACGTACCGATGATTCATGATACAGATGATTGCGTGAGTGTTTGCTCTTGTACATGTTTGGGTGGAACTAATTCCGAATTTTTTGATTCCTCTGGATATCAGGGTTATAGACCCCCTTCAATTCCTGCCAGTCTTCGAGTAAAACGAGCATCCGTCTGATGGAAGGAGTTTCGAAGGCGCAGTTTGCGTCACCGACTTTCCAGAGTTGATAGTCGTGAACTTCTTGGGATTGATGTTTAATTACTTTTTTCGAGTATGTGTATCAATCATTTTTTTTATTTCATCATATCAGTTATTTTGAACAGAGACACACAGAGAAAAATCTGACAATATAAGTCTGCTCTCATGCATTTATTGCTTGAATTTGTGCTTTGAACGTTATGAAAACTACACATGATTAAAAGAAGTTATATTTCATATAATATAAATAATAATCACTGCAATGAAGATCATCAGAATCTCTTAAACTAATGCTTTATTAGAGACAGGAACTTATGCTCAAGTATTTTTATAATTGTTTTCTTATTTTAAATAAAAAAAGTATCTGCCATTCTAGAGAAGCAAAACGAACGTTTTCAAAGTTAGTGACATTACATATATGATGCATAACTTGAAATTTCGAGTCATAATTTTGTAACTATTAACTAAATATTCAAATATTTTTATAATTTTGTATTTTTTTACTATTTAATTTATGTGATAATTGATTATTGCTTTAGTAGAGGACAATAAACTTGTGTTCGGTAACTAAAAAAAGCGTAGATTGCTGAGAAATTATTTGTAACATAATTTCTAGAAAGATAATCCTAATTTTTTAGCATAAATCTCTATAACGTATGGCAAAATGTTCCTGACTCTACTTCATTATATTAATTTCTTATAGTAAAATTAAATCGACGAGATGTGTTCACGTCGTTAATTATATTTGAAATATACCTACATATGAAATAAACAGAACTTGAAAGTGATTGTCTGTAAAAAAAAATTTGGAACTTCTCTTAGACTATGGAACAGAACTAAATTGTTCAAAGCAAGTTTTCCAAAACAAAATCTAAACTGAAAATGGTTGAAAGGTGTTATAAATTATGTACAGATATCGAAAATAATTGATGAAAAAGAAAATAATAATGTATAGTCGATAAGATTCCAAATATGTAACTGTGTATAAACTGCAAAGTGTTCTTTATTTTGCAAAAGGTGACATTTCTTAAGCCGCTAGTTGAAATTTTCTTTAGAATATAACAAAACTTATTGTTACCTACAAATAAGAATTTCTAATCCATTAATGGATTCAATTGAGGCCTTGGATCCAATAACTCGCCCGACGCTCGGAGGAACGCGCAGCTGCCAGTCAGTGAGCAGTGAGCGCCTCTGGGCCACTCACTGCTATCCAACTAGTATTAGCGCGTGCCTTCGAGCGTCGGGCGAGTTATTGGATCCAAGGCCTCAATTTTAGATCGGGTTTAAAACATGTTTACTACACCCTTAACATTTTACGTGCTATAAATATTTTAACTCTTATTTGTAGAACGTAGAAAACTTTTTCGGTATTTGGCTACAGTCAATTTTTTTACCTCCAACAAATTTGCGTTTAAACTTTAACTGTTTCCTGGTAGAGACTGTTGGTCATCAAATAAACATCCTTTGTGCACAGATAATTTTTGCATATTCTAAAGTGAATTTAACAGGTAACTTAAAAAAATTAAAACTTCGCAAAATCAGAGTCACACCCAAATTATTAGCTGTGATGTGTGTAAATTTTAGTGCTGAACTTTAGAACCTTGGAAAGTAATAAATTCATTATTAAGAAATTCGGAACGATCCGGATTTTTTCGTCTTGTAAATTTAAATACAAAGCGAAAAATATTTAGAAATGAATTAAAATGATCATAATTTTGTAAGAATATTGTATACAATGAAATAAGAATATTTGTATAGGAAATTATTAATGAGGAATTATCATGGAAGTTTGTTATTAATCCAGAAATAGTTGCGCGAGGCATTAAGTTTATGTATTCTATGTTTATTAAGCGTCTTCACCTGAAAAAAAATTAATCCAATAATTTGCATTAACTGATACAACATGCACTATAGGAGGTATTCCAGTGTGCAAGATTTAAAATAATCAAATTCTTTTTTTATTATGCACTTTTGCTTTTAATAATACAATTGAAAAAGACATTTTTAAGTTTCTGTCATTATTTATGTTTTTAATTAATGAAATTTAACAGCAATAATAGGTAAAAATAAGAACTTTAAAAACTATAAAAATAAATGTGTTACGATAGAATACCTCCTTATATAAAAATTCATAGAATCAAGTTGAAGATGCAAAATATTCCTAAAGATTAGATACAAATAAAGAAGCTTCACCAGTAGTTGATCAACTTTACTAAAATTACGAACTTGTGTTATTAGGAGTTTTAGTAAATCTTTCTGTTTAAAGAGAGAGCGTCTTCTAAAGAAAATGTAATGTTATTATTTCCTTGTTTTATTTAAAGCTAAAGTTTGTTTGGAGAAAGAATAAATCTCACTATTTTAAAAGTTGAATATGTTAACCCTAATTGATAATTTATGAAACAAATAGTAAGATTTACTATAATTGTAATATAAAACGAAATCAACAAAGAACATTACTGTTGGGTCTATGCGAAATGTAACACTAAACTAAAATTGTCACTTTTACTATGATATTCATTTCTCCGTTTATATATAGTAATATAAATATGGGAAAATTTTTATGTTCAAAAAACGTATAAGGCTAAAAAAATTGAAAACAAAAAATGCATTGACCTTATGTGTTTTCATTCTATTTATTACCTCGAGTCACAATAGAGAAAACAGAAAGTTTATAATATATTAGTGCCAATACGTAAAAATACTTTCTTTTATACCACAAGTGAGCTTGACATCTAAGGAATTGATAATACCTGAACTTCATTTAACATATCAAAAGTTCTATATTATTCAAAACATATTTATATTATATTTTATGTAGTAAAACTGTAATTATTTATTTACTTAAGGGCAATTTAACTATTATGACATCAGAGTTCTAGAATACATTCTGTGCACAAACTGTGACGTCATAATGGTTCAAACGCCCTTAACACAATCGTGCGACTACTGGAAAATTAAAGCTGGTTCTGAAAATGTGTCCTCAAAAAATCTTTTGTTATATATATGTGTAAATACTTTAATATTATTTCCTTTTATGAAAAACAATAATAACAATATTTATTATAATAACAAAAATAAAGCAAAAGACTGAGAAATAAATTTTTTATTTCAAACATACACAAAAATTTCTGCACATCTGACATTGAATTGTAGGTAAGTCTGAAACGGAAAATGTGATACAATTCTTATATTAAGTTTCCATTAAGAGGTTAAAGCATATACCAGGATTTTCAAAACATGGGTTTTTTTATTGCAGGTAATAACAGAAGTAATAATAACAATTAAACTCATAAAACTATCCCCCCACGTTTTTTGATGTCCTAAATTCTAGTCTGAAGTCCGTTTTGTTTATAGAACTTGCCCACACAGCACCGAAACTTTCCTAAAAATTTATTAAAGATTTACTTGCAAACTTCGAAGTATTTACTTGAAAAGTTTAGTGAAAATTTTGTAAAGATTTAAATGTCCCACTTCAATAAATGTTTAGCGTGAAACTTTCCTGAAAATTTAAAAAAAAATTTCGCCTACTGTATATGTATAGGCGAAAATTTAATTTAAATTTTCAGGAAAGTTTTAAGTTAAATTTTTAGGAAAATTTGACTATAAACATTTATTTAAGTGGGACATTTAAATCTTTACACAATTTTCACTAAACTTTGCAAGTAAATTTTTCGAAGTTTGCAAATAAATCTTTAATAAATTTTCAGGAAAGTTTTGGTGCTGTGTGGGTGGTACCTAAGTATTTTCGGGGTGTCTGATTAAGATTCATAAGTCATCGAGCATTGTTGACAATGGCCGGCTATTGTAGACACTGCACAGTAGTCATGTTTGGACAAAGTTGTTTATCATCTTATTTATTAACAGAAAGTACATCTAAACAGCAATCAATTAATTGTGAAAACCTTTTCAATGTGAAAAACTCCATATAAGCAGGCTAAAAATGGGAAATCTCACCACTAGTTCTACTACTCAAAATTTCTTGCAGTTTTATAGGTCATCGTGGAAAGATTAGATGTACAGATTATCGTAGAAGGAGATAAGAGAAATAGAAGAAGCGTAAATTGGAATCATTTGAGAAAGGGAGAGGTTAATTATCTTTTCAAAATCGAAGAGAAAGAATATTTAAAAAATAATGGAAACATTATTTAAAAGTAATAAATAATTATTTTATGTAACTTAAGCTTTTTTAATTGACCAAATCAGAAAATTTAAATTAAATTTTAAAGAAATATTAATTAAACAAGCATTATTTTATTATTATTTTAAACAATAAAATTCAAAGTATAAACTGAAATAAATTTTAGTAAATACCACAATGATTAATAATTTTTTATCATATTTATAAAAAGAATAAGAATTGAAAATAATTAGTAATTTTTAATACGAACAAATTTTTATTTTCTTACTTGACTGAATTATTATTAATACCAATTGACAATAAATCCACTTTAACAGGATAAAAATAATTTTAAATTACAATTGAAATATTTTTAATTTTGAAACAATAACGATAAACGAACAATAAATTTAGAAAAGTAATGGAAAATTTTCGAAGATATAATTTTAAATGAAATTCAGTTTTTTGAATCGTCATCATCTGAAGATTCGTAGTCAATGAGATTCTCTTTCGGTGTTTCTTTTTGTTCGTTACTGGATGCTACTGAACAAGTGTGGCTCGAAGTTTTTTTATCCATTTCATCAATTTTTCTCTTCTTCTGTGTACTTTTTTTATTATCCTTATTGTCGTTTTTGTTTTCATATTTACCGTCTTCAATTTCCTCTGAGTCTATATTGCTATCAACAAATAATCTGATAAATAAAAAGTTACATCTACGTTTCTCTAAATATTAGCTTTTGTCATATGTCAATTTAAAATAACGTAAAAGAGAAAAAATGTATATCTTCTATTTTTTAAAGAAAAATATTGTATTTAAACCTAAAAAAAAATTTAGTACACCCTCTCATATTATAAGACTTAAAATAATTTAATTTAAAATATTAAATTATTTAATTTTTTAAAAGATTCTATTTTTAATTATTAATTACTTGGAATTTCTACTGTTTCCACTTCTCTTCTGACTTCTTCTTTTGCGATCCTTGGAAAGTTTTTGCCTTTTACTGTCTTGAACTTTATCGTTTTTTAATTCACTTTGAGAATCTGAAGATTTATGTTTTCGTTTTCTTCCTGCAATTTCTACGACATCAGTAGCAACTCGAATGTTTTGTTCACTTTTTCCTGTTAATCAAAAATAGTTTTTTAAAATTTAATAACTTAATGTAATTGTTAAAAAAATATTGTATTCTTTGTGAAATATATTTCATTGTTCAATTACTTTTATTTAATTATTTAAATATTTAAATACATTACTGACATTTATTAAAGTTATTATTAGCATTAAAAAATAATTTTTAATTAATTAATTTATTTGAATTATTATTTTAGAAGTGAAATATTTTATAGAATTTATTATAATATTAATTTTTAAATATATTATGACAAGCAATATCCATTTGTTATATTTATTTGAAAATATAGTTATAAAAATAAGTAATGTAAACCAAAATAAATATTAGAACAATAAGCATTTAAAGTTTAATTTATTTACCAATTGAATCAGATTGGGATTCATTTTTAGATGCTGTGCTGATAACGCTGCTGCTTTCGGAAACATCTTCATATTCTTCATTATCAGAATCTTCATCTTGGGAGTCACATTCTTCCATTGAGTGATTCGATTCTGCATTCCGTGATTTCTCTGCATGTCTTTCTGAACCTAAATTCCTTTGCTTTCGATTTAAATTTTCATTTGCATTTGACTTTGCATCACCTTTTCGTTCCAAATTTTTAGATTTACTTTCTGCATCATTGGATAATGCTTTTCGTTCTAGAAATATGAAATTTTAATTTATAATTTTTTATAATTATTTATTTATTGTTTTATTACTGTTTATTTATTATTTTATTAATTGTTTATAAACATTATATTATTTATTGCAATTAATTATTATAGGTATTTGTAGTAGAATTAGAATAGCTCGATTTATAATTCTTGCAGTATTCTTTAATACATATTATTAATGTTAATTATTGATTTAAATATTTTTTATTTCATTTATGTATCCAAAACAATTTTAAAAATTATAAATAAATAAAATTTACGGAAGAGTATTTTTTTATTAATTTCAGAAAAAATATTGTGAATTAACTAGTTATTAAAAATAATTTTAATACTCATTGATTTAATTTTCTAGCCTTACTTTTCTCATTCGATGATTGTTTGGCACATCCGGAACAATGTGGAGCCATTTTTAGTTTTAATTTTACTTTAATTTATAATTTTAATTTTTCACAGAGAATTTAAGAAATTTTGCACTTGGAATTTAAAATTTGAATGTGATTACGTCACTTAATTTTGTTATTTTAATATTCGAAATAATATAAGAAATTTTCCGAAATCATATTATACAGATGTCATGTTGTGTATGTCAAAACAATTGAAATATTTTTAATTATTCTAACGACTTCATGTAATCTGAGCTCGATCTCAAAAAAATGACTGACAAATTTTAACTTCAGATTGAGCTTGAAAATTAAATTCAAAAATCTATAAGGAATTTATTGTTTAAATTTTTAATTTAAAAAGGGTGAAACAAAAAACATTTTATTAATTCTTCATAAGTTAGAGACTCACAATTATTTTTTTGTATATAAAATTGAACGTATAAAACATAATTTTATTCAATACTCCAACAATGAGTGATTGACAGACTTATTTTCAATTACAATTAATAACAATAAAACTTTATAATAATTCTTTATTTATTATTATTATATTAATTTATATTTAGTTTTTTAAGTATTTTATATTTCAATTTTTTAACAACAATTTTTAAGCTGAGAATCGTGAAAATGTAAAGAATTAAAAATAAGATTCTTGATTCTTTTTTAAACTAAACAATATTTACACGAATTCGTATCGAATTTTTAAATAATTTTTTTTAGAAATTTCGCTAGGTATACGATAGTAATTCTGCACGCAATGTTTGTTCTACATTTTTTAAAAATAATTTCTGACCACTTTTTTGAATAAATTTTGTACAAAATTCTTTTGGAAATGTGGTTGGAAATTATTTTTAAAAAAACTTACAGCCAATATTACATGCAGAATTACTATCTAAATTCTAGCGGAATTTTTACGAAAAATTATAAAAATTTCTTAGAATTTTGCAGGAATTTTGTACAAAATTTAAAAATGTAAATGAAATTCAAATATTTTTTAAAATAATTGTTATCAAAATTAATATACTACTAAGAGATAATTGTTTGTTCAGGGACACTTTAAGACATTAAAAAGTGGACAAAAAGCTGTTAATAGTAATAATTTTATAAAAAAAAATTTATGATTTTTGTGTTTTGTCAAAGAATAAAAATTTTTGGTTTTCTGCTATTAACAGAATATGTTCATAGTCTATGTCATTTCTATGTGAGAGTAATGTTAATACCAGCACTTTACCTTAAGTTATTGTAAATAAATAATTTGTTTACAAGAATTGTTTATAACTTTGTTAAAAATACTTAGAATTAAATTTAAGTTTCAAGATACATGAACCTAATAAAAAAACGATATTAAAAGAAAAAACTGTTTTTTTATATTCAATTGCTGTTAAAATGTAATTTGTTTACAACAATTGTTTATAATTTAATTGAAAAATATTAGTAGGTAAGTTAAAGTTTCAAGATTCATTAATTCTATAGAAAAAAATAGTACAGGAAAAAACGAAGTTTTTACATGTTTACTTGTTGTTAATTTGAAATTTGTTTATAATAATTGTTTATAAAGCTGTTAAATAATTGTGGTTAATCATTTTTACCTCCAAGATTCATTAAAAGAACAGTAGAAAAGTCGGTGGAAGAAGACACTATTTTTCAGCTTCAATGATTGTCAATTCTTAATATGTTTATATAATTGTTTATAACACTGTTAAATAATAATGTTAAACAATTTTCATCCTCAACATTAATTGCAACTATCAAAATAAGAGCGATATATAAAAAAATTTTTTTTTTCAATATTTGTGACTTTAAAAAAATAATTTCTTTATAAAAATTGTTTAAAATATTGTTAACCCTCCGTCACACACCTAGGGAGGGATTCCCTCTACGGTTTCAGTATTTTTTAAATAACTTTTGTTTTCCTCATTGCAAAATAAAATCAGTTTCTATACCTTTCGACAATTTATTCCTCAGCAAATTTCTAATAAAACATTTAGTTTAAACATAATTAATATTTAATTATGAAGCTTCAAAGCCAGAAAAAACTGGAAAAAGTGAGGTTATGTTAAATAAAAAAATCAAGTTTTCAAAACATTTTTGTTCCACTGTTGGTTAATGACAAAATTATATTATAAATATAATTAAAATATGAATTGTTTAATGATTTTTTTGCTTATTTGTTAATGTTACATTATTTTTACATGTCAAGTGGAATTCCTTCGAAGATGTGCATTCGTGTAATTAATTTTTATTTTTGAGACAGAAAATTAATTTTATTAATTTTATATGTAATTTAGAATAATTTACTATATATTTGTAAGTTTGTGTTAAAACTAAATTTTTGTTGATTCCTTTGTTTATGTTGGAATGTTGCTTATTTTACAATGTTGTGAGGGATTCCCTCTAAACGTGTGTAAAGTCGTAATTTTTTCTCATGTGTGTGACGGAGGGTTAAATTAGTTATAGTGATATAATTTTATCATAAATGTTATTTGTATACTAATTTTAGTCATTTGTGGTGAGAAAATGTGTCTAGAATTTATTTTTCTGACTATTCAAAATTTTAGATATTTTGTCTGTAATAGATTTGGATAGGGCTATACCTTAAGTGGGGACTAGTTCCTCCCCCCTTCTATTAATTAATGGTCTTCATGACTAATTATAAAAGATAGCGTTAGAGCTTTACCAACAGGTCTCGCGATTACTGAATAATAATTGTATTGCTTTGTTTCGAATATACCTAAATGTGTTTTTGTTAACTTTGGTGTTTAATTTATTTTATGCCCACGACCATCCTTACATGTCGGACATTTTTGAGCCGCCATTCTGAATTTCGAAAGAATTAAAATTTCTAGCAATGCTTAAATGAAGGGACGCGATATTTTGTCAGTCAAAATTTTTCCTGAAGCGATTTCCAATGAAAAATATAGTTTTAATGAAAGAAAAACCAAAAAATTTTGTGTTTTTTTTGTTTAAACAATCATAACTTTTAATCCGTAAGTCAAAAGTTAAATTTTCTTGCAGATTCTGAAAGAGGACGATAAAATACAGAAACACAACGTGCAATTTTTTTTTATCCGACCATCTTTGAAAATGGTAAGTGCAAATGTGAAGGGAAAAAATGGACTTTTGGGACTAAATGGGTTAATAGTGTCGATATTAGAATTCGCTATTCTCCATTTAGAGATTTTTAAGATTCAAAATTAATTTACAAAGGACCCCGCACAATCATATGAGAAATCTGGCCCTGGTCAGAATTGTCTGAAATAATTTTTGATCAGGATATTAAAAAGTAATTATTTTTAAAGTTACAGACAATTCTGACCGGGTCCGGATTTTCCATATAATTGTGCGGGGTCCTTTATTTGTTTTAAAGTTTGACTTCGAGTAGCCTTATTCCTGCGAGCGGGGCTCTGCACGAGCTGACTTATATTTCCCTAGCTACTCGTGAGTCTTCATATGGAGAGCCTGTTCAATCATGGACGTAAGAAATATAGGGACATGGCATATAGATGCGGGGGGATACTTTGCAGTCCGTAAGGGGAGGCGTTGGCGAATTGCTAATTGGTTAAGAAAATGTACGTGTTATATGGCAATTGGCGCCTGCGCATTAAGTCTACCAATAGGGAATCGACCAACGTAGCGTTTTCCCTTCCGATCTGCCAACGTACCCCCCTCGCCCATACTTTGACTTTGAGGCCTGTCCCTATATTTCTTATGTCCATGTGTTCAATAAATTAAATTTGGGCGGCCAAACAGGTACGGTGACGGCGTCTACAACCTCCTCGGAGGCTGCGGATTCGAGGGCCTAAAACTCTGAAGCATCAGGTCAGTCTATCCCAGTGGCTGTCCCATCCGTTCTTTCGGGATCTGATTTTAATACGGTCTTGGGTGAGAGTGAGGATTCAGGAGCTGAAGCAAAGTCCCCAAACCTCGAATTCCTCGAGTGTTGTTACTGGGTCGAAGAGAAAGAGCGGTCTGGATGCGTCACCCTTGGAAAAAGAAGTTGTAAAATGGCCAAAGTCGGTCCAACAGGGCACCAGGAAAGATGGTTACAATGTTGGGTTAACAATGGCTCAAAGGACGAATCCTCTGACTACGCGACGGTGGCCTACAGCGACGGCTATCCTGATATGGTGCTTACGAGAGCAGTTTAGACTTCTTAGTAGAGCTCGCAATCCCTCAGAGCGGGATCCCACACTATTTATTGAATCCAACATACTTATAAAAAAGGAGCGGAATCCCGCGGGATTTCTAACGGTCAGGGAAAAGTCAGGGAATGTTCGTCTTACAAAGAATGCCCAATATGTATTTTATATTATATGTATTTATATATTAATAAATTTCCTATTTTAAAAGTCTGACTTCATATTCGTCATTAACGAAAAACCCCCAAAAAAAACCCTGAATAACACGTTTAAATCGAATTCCATCATTATTTTAAAAAATTTCCGCCATGTTGGATCCGCCTTTGTGAATTTTAAAAATCTGACTTCAGATTTGTGATCAGCGACCCCAAAAACTCCCGAGTAAAAAGTTTTAAGTGAATTTCATCAATTTAAACAAATTTACGCCATATTGGATCCGCTATTGTTAATTTTAAATATCTGA